TATAAGTTTTAATATATTAATGATATTAGGTACTTGCTTGAAAGATAATATAATACTACCAAAAACTAGAGTAGTAAAAGAAGTGCTAATATATGATTATAGTCTGTAATAAAGAATCATACCTTAACTATAATTAAAAGCATCTCTGGCATCAATAGAATAACTATAGAAGATTACTCAGTGTAGAAAAAAAGTAAGCTACCCTGTATATCTAAAGATACCAATTCGGAGCTCTAGTCATATCTATATAGAAGTCTAAGATGAAAATAGTTAGAATGCACTAGCATGAATAACTAGAAGTATATAGTGCTATAGTTGCTATACAACTTAGGGTCATCATAACTAAAGGTTCTGACAATATACTACATAAAGAAATACATAAAAGATGGCAATGTATATTGTACTTAATAACTAAAGAAATATTAAGACCTGGGGATAGCAACCTATCAGTAGCAGCAGAGTCTGACTTGAGATATGAGGTTAGTATACCTGGGTAGTAAATAGGAGGGTCTGGGGCATTCATGCTACATGAAGAGATGCATGCTAGCAGATAACATAATATGATCACTTTAATTAGAGTATCACATAAATTGAGCAATACAAATACTAGATAAGTTCTCAAATCTAATATATAAAACTTATGCTTCTCATATGAGACTAGCAGTAGTAGCAGTTATCTGGCTTAAGAAATATATATAAGAAGCTACCTGTGTAGCAATACTAGAAATTCCAATAATATGCATACCAAATTAGAAGGCCAAAAAGAACTAATTCTCTAAAAGAACTAATTTAGAAGTAACTAAGATTTGATGATAAGATATGAGTGAATATAGTGGGTAACTAGAAATAGTTTGAACATCAAATCCAGATATAACCCAATAAATGTGGGAACATAGCATACTTTGGTAGGTTTAGGTTATAGATAAAATTGTCTAAATCTGTATTCTTAAAATAGATATATAGAAATATAAGACAAATACTTGCCAAATGTCTAATAAAGATATGAGGCAAGACCTCACTTTAATACCAAAAAAAAAAATAAATTTGTTAGTATAATTATAAATAATGTGAAAACTATATAAAATATTTTAAAAGCTAAATATTTTAATAAGTTTTTGAATACTTAATATACAGAATTAATTTTTGAATTAAAGATATTTTTAAAAATATATCTATTATATAAGAAGCATTGGGTAGATAAATGCTATAAGATAATTTAAAAAAAACTCTTTGCACTAATCTACAATTTACAACAAATTTTTAATCAACTTGAAGATAAAGCATTACTTTCTGAAGAAACTAGTATAAGAAACAAGATCTCTTGTACTAAAGAAATAGAAAAAGCTCTAAAAATAATATTTAGTTTATTAGAATAGCTTCTTACAAAAAAATTTTAAAGCGCAACAAAATAAAAACTTTTGAAAATTTTTAGAAAATTTTTAGAAATTTTAGAAATTCATTTAAACTCTAAAAATCTGATTTTAGAGATACATAAGCAATAACAACAAAATAAATACTCAGATTAGATAAACAAACAAACAAATAGTAGATCATATTACTATAATTAGATATAATAAAATAATAAATCAACAAATATTACATGTGGCTAGTAAAAATAACAACAACAACACAAGCAACAAATATGACAATTAACAATAAATAGAAGTAGATTTTCTAAAAAATTTTAATATAGTAAATTTAGAATCTAAAGCAACAGACTTAGAGTTTAGCTTAACTAGAAAAAAGAGATTAACTTAAAACATAGTTAACACTAAAATGATATTCTTAGGAAAAATTAATGATGTTTTTGCACTGCCAGTAGAGCAAAGACAGGAAATATAAATATGCAAAAAAAATTTGTTCTTCAAACTAACAGAAGTGTAGGAAAGTTTTTAGAATTAGAAGACCCAGAATTTGTTTTATTTATGTACATAATATTAGAGAATTACAAATCAGCTTTTTAGAAATTCTCAAAAGGAGATAAACTAAATGCAGAGGATCAAGAATTAATAGGTATAGATCTGAAGACCAAGACAATAAACTTGGATAAGTATACTACAAGAAGACATCAAGAAGAAAATAAGAAGGCTTTACCAGAACTGAAGGTAAAAAAATAAAATCCTCACTGGTTCAAGATAGAATAGTAATAGAAGAACCTACGGCTCAACTAGTATTCATAAAATAACTTAAAAAAGAAAGTATATAGTTATAGAAGATATTAAAGAAATAAACAAAGATGAACCTAAACCCAAACAACAGAACAGTAGTATAGATAAAATAACAGAAGAAATCTTTAATGAATGAGATTTTAGAAAGTTCAGGTGATGAAAAAATAGAAGACAAAATAATTTTGCTATATACAGAATGTGGAACTCATGATAAGAGTACTAAGAAGACAAAAGATCTTGTATTTTTAAGATATAATAAAAGAACAGTAGAAGTCCTATTTAAAAAAAAAAAGAAAAAGAAGTACAATATTATGCATAAAGAGATATATAGATTGAGATGAGTACCAAAAAATATCAATAAATCAATCTGGGTTTCAGATAATAGGCCCAAAGAAGAACCACTAAAAGAAGAAATATTATTAAAAGAAAAAATACTTAAGAAACTCAGCTAAAAAAAACAACCCAAAACCTCAAACTAGAATACAAGTTAAACCTATGGAATCTACTAGCAGATATATGGGCTAGCAGAGTAAGAAAAAGCCTTAACTTCTATAGTAGAGCAAATGTTCTTGAATAAAAAACTCACAATAGGAGGTTAAGAAGTCCAAGGCAGTCTATATTCAAATTATCTGTTGGAACCAAGAAAGATTTAAAGCATTTCAAAAAAGTTTGATAGACACTTTGAAGAGAAAAGCATGTGTCAATTAACTTCTGGTTACTTTGATAGAACAAAGCTAAGTAACAGAAGAAAATGGGTAGCCAGATTACAGACCTTTTTTCTAATATACTTGAGTTTTCTCTCTTTCAACAACTTAAACTGAGTAAAGCCAAAGCAGTGTATATTACTAACAACAGTAATAGCAATAGGAGAAGTATGTGCTAATATATTTCAAGAATGAAGAGGACAGCCTTAGTGTACAAAGAAGGCAAATTTATTACTATAACAAAAACTAGCATAGATAGATATTCAAGAAAAAAAAGTAAAAACCTACCTATGCTGAAGTATAAAACAGAAATTTAGAAAAAGAGAATATGGCAAACAATAGAGTCTCTGTCAAAGAAGAGAGAAGCCAGATAAAGGGCAAAGAAAACAAATCAAGATGAGTAATGAAAAAGAAAATATAAAAGATTTGGCAAAAAAGATATCATAGATAAATTTAGAAGCAGAGAAATAATTCCTCAACCAATTCAAAGAATTATAACCTGAAGATGAAAAGTACAAAGTCTTGAATTTGAAAAACAGAATAGATTAAAAGCAGATAATTTTATAAGAAATTCTTAATAGACTAGACAAATTAAGCAAGAAGTAGGTTTTACCTGCTAATTGCTTCTAAAGGTACCTTAGTTGAAATAAGAAATATGATAGTGGAGATGAATTCCTCTCCAATATGAAAGGTCTTTTCAAGTTTTCGCTTAACTTAAGACCCTCCAGAATCTATTATACTAAATGAAAGTTAATAAAACAAATTTCAATAGGCAGAAGATAATACTCAAAAGTAGTAATAGCAAGGCAGAGTTGGGGATTGCCTGCTACAATATAAATAGTTTGTAAGCAACAAGCAGAAACTAGAAGCACTACATGAATAGGCACTACTTTATAATATAGATATGCTAGGAATAGCAGAAATGAGCATTTTAAACAAAAAGCATTTTCATAGCAATGAATCTTAAAAATTATAAAAGTTTCTGGTCAAGTACAAACCTAAACAAGAAAAAGCTCAGGAGTAGGCCTTTTTGTTAGTAAACAATAGAAAAAATATTTAGGTTAAATCAAAAGAAGAAATGAATATTTAATAATAGCTAGCTTCTTATTTAAGCAGTTAAAAGTAATTATAATAATGGTGTATTTACTACCAAATAACAAGAATAAAAAAAAGATTCAAAAAGAAATTCTGAAAAGATATATTAACTAATCTAAGAAAATGCAATTAATAGTTATAAGTAATTTTAATTGTATTCCAAACCCTCTTCAAGACAAATCATACTATATAGAAAATGAACCATTTAAATTAGATTTCTTTTTTAGATAGCTTCAAAAGCAAAACTTTGAAGACTCCTTCAGACTAATAAACTCAAAAAACAAAGACTTTTCTTGAACAAATGAAGAACAAAACTCTAGAATTAATCAAATTTGAATTTCAGAAGTTCTTGCAAGTAGATTATACGATGCAAAAATTCTAGACATGGATATTGCTACTAGTAGTAATCATGAAACAGCACTAGCAAAATTTGAATTAGAATATTTAATCTCAGCAGTTAGTTATATTGAGCTTAAAAAGCAAAATTTCAAAAAAACAGTTTTTCTTTATAATGAAGCAACTAAAGAAGACTGAAATAACTATAGAGAAGAATTAAAGAGAATTTTAAAAAAAAAGAAAACTTAATTTGAGACTTAACAAAATTAGAAAACCTGGCAGAAGAGGAAATTCAAAGACTTCTAAATAAGACATAGAATTTAGTGAATAAAAGTATTATTGCTATAGCCCAAAGATGCTTCTTAAGAAGAAAATCTTAAATATACAACCTTCTAAAGATAAATGAATGAAAAAGTTAGAGTTTGCATAAATAATAGTTCTTTTGAGCAGATGGATAAGTTTAGAAAGAAAGAATTTTAAACTTTGTTAGCTAGTAGACAATATTCAAGAATTTAATAAACAGATCAAACTTATCAATTTATGTTGTAAAATCTATATAGAGAAGATCTAAAGCTAGACTCAAGAGACTATTGAAAACTTAAGAAAATGATGAAAAATTCTTAACAAATAGAGAAGTGAAAAACTAGAAAGAATCAGAAGTGAGAAAATAAATAGAAATATCAAAAAAAGATGCTAAATGATTGATGAAAAACAAAAAGATGATTGCAAGTCTACTCAACAAGCCAATCAAAAAATCAAGATTGATAGATTGCTTAAAGAGGATAGCCTTTTGAGAAAATTAATTACAAACCCAAACAGAGTTTTAGGTGAACATTTCAAAAATCAATTTAGATCAAGAAATTTTTAAGAAAATACTTTAGAAGAAGCCTGGTATAGAACTTATAGTCCAAAGAAAAAAATACAAGATGCCTGGTGTCGTGCAATAGTGCACTTATGGGGTCTTTTGGTCAGTTTCCACTTAGGTTTTGCACTCACTTAGCACTGGCGTAT